CACAAGATTTGATGGCGAATTCTTGAATACTCATTTATTTCCTGCTATATGTTATTGTTTGTTAGGTTGCTCAGCAGTTTCCTCCAGTGCAGAAAACCTTTATCCAGATGGATGAAGATGATGACAAAGGTGGTATAAACATTGACAAAACAGTAGTGTTGATGCGAGAAGAAGATAAACATGATAAACAAGTATTTAGACAACGAGTTAAAGACAAACACAGAGTAAGAGAAATAACTGTTTACTGGTCAAATTAATAATAGCCTTGCAGAGCAAAGAAAAAATGAAGAAACAAGAAAATAAAATAAAAACAAATTTGCTACTCTTTCTGTAATTTACTTGACAAAAGGCTTGTTTATACAAAATGTCTAATTTTCTTGTTTCTTTTCTCTGCTTCAGACTATAGTGAGAGTTCAAAATAAAATTCACTTTCATATCAATTAAAAGTGGATTCTACTTAATAATAAAAACTTGCATGTGTGTTTTACTTTAAAGGCTGAAAAACTGAAGAAAAAAGCTGGAAGAAAAAGGCGGAAACGAGGGGATGAGAGTGAGGTTTGTATTCTTCATCAAAGTCTTACCAACAATAGTGATGAATGAATAACAAGTACCGTTAAAATCCTATTATAAACCGCATACCTAATAGTAACCGCATCCCCCATTTCGGCTTCAGTGTTAAAGAGTTCTCAACAAAAATTGAAAACATGAAAAGTACCTATTGCTAACCGCACCCCCAATTCAACAAGACCGTGACTGATTTTGTTTCAACCAGCTGGTACATTGTTCCTAATCCTATTCATTTGTTTCGACAACGTGCCTAAAAATATTCACACCTCTTTATTGTTCAGTAGTGTTAGGATGTCAAACACGCAGTAAAACTGCTTTTGTTCTTGCGACAACTTTTGTCAATACTCCTTATGATTACGTTCGTGTGTCGCAAGTTTTCGACAATAAGCTGTTATAACTGAAAAACTGTTAAATGTCAGAATATACTTTCCGTTACAAAGAAAATTAAAAAAATAAATGCATATTACACTAAATAGACTGAGTATTTTTTTTTCATGTGAACAGTTTTTTTGTGACGTGACGTGACGCTTATCACTCTTCCCTGACATCTAACATGGAGTTACGCATATATTCAAAAGATTGTATGGTGTATTGTTTGTTTTGTGCAAGTGATGTGGGAAAAAATGACTACGCCCTTTTAGTGATTGCAATATGTACGTAATAGAAACCAGTTTTGGTAATTTTTTGACATTCATTATTTAGGAGGAAGATATTGGTGTACAATTATCTATAAATCCAGAAGATGAATGTAATATTGATTTATTGCCAGATCCTGATCAATATTTCAATAAAAGTGAAAAACATAGCCATGCTGAGAAAGAATTTAGGTAAGTGGATATAAATGTACAAAGGCTACTGGTGCATATTTTATCACATGTAGCAGTGACAATATACAAATGTACAATATACATTGACAATGGGCTCTGAGGGTCTCTAAAACTGTATGTCCACCGCTGTTGGGGTGTCAATTTTTAGGTCCTGTTCGGACAAAGTTTGAAAACGGGGACTATTTTGTACAAATACGTAACAAAATCAAAAGCCCATGACTCTCAGATTATTTATTGGTTAACCAATAAATATAACTGTCTGTATGTTCGAGGCTATATCTCAGACACCCATTGATCGATTTCATTCAAACTTTACATGAAGACGATACATAATGTCTAACATACATGTATGCACTTTATAATCTTTATAATCGGAGCAAAAATGGCAGACTGGCGGCCATTTGGGATGTAAAATTTGCTATTTCTGATACCTAAACGTGTCTGCAGCAGTTTCTCGAAGATGACTGGGCCGATTTGGATCAAAGTTGGTATGGTGATCATACATATTGATTTGAACAAATATGGCCTACTGGCGGCCATATTGTTTTTCATGGTACCCATGCTACTTTATCTTCAATGCAATGAATGTTTCTGTTTAAATTTTGTACAAAGATAGTATACCAAGGGATACATTATTTTTGTGATTCGATTCAATATGGCCGGCCAAGGCCCAATTTTCATGTAAAAGTGCTAAATCATAATTTTTACATGTCCGGAGCTGTTTCTTAGAGATGACTAGGCCAATTTGGATCAAAGTTTGTATGATGATTATACATATTGGGTTATAGTTGCATGTCATATTTTTTCTGTTATTCAAACTAATATGGCTGACTGGTGGTCATTTTGTTTTTCATGATACCCATGCTTACTTTCCCATGAATGCAATGAACATTTCTGTTTAAATTTTGTACAAAGACAGTATACCAATAGATACATCAACATAAACATTATTTTTGTAATTTGATTCAATATGACTGCCCAATGTTCAATTCTCGTGTAAAAGCACTAAATCATAATTTTTTTACAAATCCATCTCCTATTAATGACTTCATCAGCATCAAATTGATATGTCAGATCACAAAATTTTGGACAGGGACTGTGTTATTAACAATGACTTGTTATTATTATACTGAATAAATCTGAAAACAGAAATTGTGGCACTCAATCATGGCAAACTTAAGTTCACGCTTGTAGATCTGAATGCATGTCTGAAAGAGTTCAAGAGCAGTGATTGAATTTGATTAAGTTTTATCATGGACTCGTTTTGATAAACGTAACTTCAACAGCTTCAGCCTGACAAAGAATTGATTTTTGCAACAACATTCAGCGCCATCCTGTGCGCAGCTGTATGCTACATTGCGTTTCAGTTCGCATTACATGTAGAACACTGAAACGAGCTGCACATGGAGCTGCATACTGCTTGAGTATAGGTTTATGTGAACACCATTCTCTTTCAACAAATACACTGTAATATGTCAATATACTGTCAAAACACACAACAAAATCAAACAAAAGCCCACGACTCTCAGATTATTTAGGTTGACGAACTACACAATCGCAGATCGAATGTATCAAAGCACGTAGCTGAGCGTGCTGGTGAACGCACAACAAGCTTGACTAAAAATCATGCGAAATCACTACAAAATCCTAGTTTTTCTCTCCAATAAGATAGTGGTATAGTGAACGTAAACCTGGCAAACCAATCAGTTCACCAATATTGCCGCGTATCGTTCTCCCCTGACAAGTTATCGGCGTAAATCAGGTAACCTGAAGAGGAAGGTACCCGGATGGAGGTTAACATACAATTATGCCAAGAGGTTAACATACAAAAATGTTAACCTCTAATACGGTAATCTGATTGGCTGTCATGGTCATGAGGTATAATAATATTTTGTGTCAAAATCTGTCTAAAATTATTCATTTTTGTATTAGTCAACAGTATGTGGATATTTATAATTCATTGTCAATCTGTTTTTTGAGAAAAAATTTAAAATAATATGCATACAATTGCAATTTAGCAGCAGTTTTCGTAGATCACAATTGAAAACCCACTAAAAATATTGTAATTTTGTAAATACTTTTTGACATGAACAAGTATGTTAGACCACTGTATATAATTTTTCACCCCTTGTCACCAACCAGATTTTGAGATGTATCCTTGGTATGCATAGGAAACAATGGTAAAATGTCTGAACACATACAGAACATCATGCTATGTTCACTCCATTTTCTACATGGATTTTTATCTAAATTAAGTACGATGAACCCATATTTTCACTTTATTTCCTTTATCCTTCTGACATGAAATTGACATTATTTTTACTATTGAGTAGCATTCTACCTTAAAACGTGTTTTTTGGTATGCTGTATAAATTTTCGCTAGTTTCGCTGTAGGAATAATTCAGTGAAAATAAAATCCAGCGAATATACCTTTTTTCCTATATTTTACATTCAACTCGTCAAAAATCAGTGAAAATAAATTCCATACAAAACCCCCTAAAAATAAAGTACTTTATAGTACAAGGTCCCAAAAAGTGAACGATGAAAAATGAAGATTCACACTATCTTTTATCTGATTAAGGTAGCGAGACTATTATTTGTGTTGAAAATTACGATTTTCAAATTTATTTATTAATTGATGAAATGCACCATAAACTTTCATATGATAAAGTCAATATAACATAGAATGTCATGTAAGTTGGTTAAAATGTAGATTTTCTGAAGGGAAGCAAGGCAGCCTCAATAGTGTTTTCCAAAATCAACAACACAGGTTTAATCTGTGTGCCTATAAGTTTCAAAGATAAACTCAAGACAAAGCAATGTTAGGATGTGTTATCAGTAGCTATCTGACACACAATGAGTGTTTCCAAACATTTGAGTGGTTTGTCTCTGCCCCTG